TTGTGTACAGTATTAAATTGTTTGTTTAAAACTTAAACACACACACACATATAGTCTTTTGTCTGGTGAAAAAAATTTCCCTGGAACCTAATCCCCCCCCATTTACATTAATTCTTATGGGGAAATTGGATTCACTTAACATCATTTCGCTTGAAGTAGCATTTTTCAGGCACATAACTACAACGTTAAGTGAGGAGTAACCGTAGCAGCAATCTCCTAGTGAAGAATGCATTTCTGAGTTAAGGGGTTCAGTTTTCCAACTAAAAAAAATACAGTAAATTGAAAATTTGTGTCTAGATGCATTTGCAAACATTATTTTTGTAAACTTGTGTTTCCCATATAAAAACTCCTAACTGCATCAGCTTTGTTCAGGGGATTGCAAACACTAACCCACTCCCCCCCACCCTCCCCGCTCCAAACCTCTCAAATCTTGATGCTAAATCTACTAAATCCTTGTCTTATTCCACATTGCAGAAGTTCAGTTTATGGCAAAAATCAGATTAGCTCATTTACTTGCTTATCATCCCCACAAACTTGGCAAAATCAGAGGAAAGTGACCAGAGTAGTCCTGAGAAAATTACTAATGTCTCTACCAGGGGGTGGCTAGGAGCATGTAATTAACCAGTCCAAGGAGAATGAACATGGGAAAAACATACTGCTTAGCAGTATTCTGGCTGTAGTGTAACCATATAATAAACAATAATTAAATCTATACCTCTGCCTTTATAGTTCCCCCTCTGAATGTCCTGAGGTAATCCTCAAACTCGTCTACTCTTTCATTTTGTGCCTCTAAGGCCTTTTCACTGTCAGCATCCCAGAAGAGATTATGGATCCTCTCCTGGATCTCAATGTAAAAGTCTAGCAATTGGGTCTCCCAAAAATGATGTGGGCTTGCCTCTTTTGTTCCCTTTGACTCCAAGGTCCACAGGCTATGCTACTTTTCCATATGTTTAGGTATACACATGCTTTCTTTAAGTAGCACATAGGCAGGATAGACCGTGTCCTAAGTGCTTACTACTGAAATCATTGCTCCAGCTCCTTCCAACATGCTACCAAGCCAGACCTTCCCAATCTAATGGTCTCCTTACCACAGAGGACTCGATATGGGAGAAAGAAGACCCCTTAAGCCCTAAAGCCTTTCCTTTGTCTCTGTGGTGGATATATGAACACCAATGTGGTTTTCCTTGAGGGAGTGGAAAAGAGAGAGTCTAAATGGGGAAGGAGAATATCCCCTCACAGCTGCTATATGATCAAGAGGAAGGTATTATAGTTTTTATGGTCACTGGATGGATAAGATTCTGCAGTAAGATCCTGAGAAACATCAAAATATCTTTACAGTTTGGATACCTTGGCTACTGTGCATTTCCAAATGTTAAAGGGGTCTAGGTTTCTTGTAAGTTTAACACCTGAATGTATTGGGTATCTAATATTTAGAGGGGTTGCTGTTGTTCTTAACTCTTGAAAGGTAATATGCAGTCAAACCAGTGTGTGCCTGCAACCTTTACCTAAACAAAGATTTTTGTGTGGAAATATAAATACAGTAACTCCCCACTTAACGTCCTCTCGCTTAACGTTGTTTCAAACTTACGTCCCTGCTCCATTACAGAACATACTCGTTTAAAGTTGTGCAATGCTCCGCTATAACGTCGTTTGGCCGCCAGCTTTGTCCACAGCTGGCAGCCCCCTATCAGCTCCCCTACACCCCCCCTCCCCCGCGCCTCCCGCCCGCTGGCGGACCCCGCGACTCAGCGCCTTCCCTCTGCTCCCCCGCCTCCTGCCCATAGCAATCAGCTGGTTTGCAGCATGCACGAGGGAGGGGGGAGGAGCGAGGACGCAGCGCAGGCTCCCCCTCCCTCCCCTGCCTCCTGAATGTTTCAAAACAGCTGATTGCCATGGGCAGGAGGCAGGGGAGGGAGGGGGAAGCTTTGCAGCGTTCAGGAGGGAGGGGGGAGGAGTGAGGACGCGGCGCACAGCCTCCCCCCTGCCTCTTGCCTGTGGCAATCAGCTGGTTTGCAGCGTTCAGGAGGGAGGAGGAGCCTGGGCATTGTGTCCTCGTTCCTCCCCCTCCCTCTGCCTCCTGAACGCTGCAAATCAGCTGATTGCCACAGGCAGGAGGCAGGGGAGGGAAGGGGGAGGAGCGAGGATGCGGCGTGCGGATTAAAGGAGGAGGAGGTGGGAGGGGAGAAGAGGCGGGTTAAAGGTGGGGACTTGGGGGAAGGGGTGGAGTGGGTGGGCCGAGGGTTGAGCCCCCCGCCCCCGGCAAAGTCAGTGCCTGTGCAAGAGGAGCAGCGGGACAATTCACCCTCTTCCACTCTCTGATTCCACCACCACAACCAAGCTTCATACTCAGCAAGGATGATTGTAGTATTAAATTGTTTCTTTAAAATTGTTTAAAATGTATATAATGCCTTTTGTCTGGTAAAAATTTTTTTCCCTGGAACCTAAGCCCCCCATTTACATTAATTCTTATGGGGAAATTGGATTCGCTTAACATCGTTTTGCTTAAAGTCGCATTTTTCAGGAACATAACTACAGCGTTAAGTGAGGAGTTACTGTATACATTTAAAGATGGTGAAACTAATGAAGGAGAAGAAAGGGTTCAGGGCATGAGGAGTAGAAAAAAGAATAGATATGCGGTCAGGAGTAGTCAGATTAAAAAGCACATTTGGAATAATGAAGTTCTAAGATGGATTTAAAAAAAAAGTGCTGAGAAATGGACCAAAATGGATGTCAAGGAGAAGTGAGTACATCAACATAGGGTCCACTGTAAGAAATGTGTGTTCAGAAAAAGGGTTGAGGAGTTCTTAAATATAGTTTGGGCATTTGCTCTTAAGGATTTTAAAAACTGAGTGTTAGCTTGGTGTAGGTCTGACAGCCATTAGTTCTACCACTGAATTGCTGTATGACATTGAGCAACAGGAATATATTCAGGGTTGTCCTATGGCCTGTGTTGGAGGTCAGACTATATGATCACAGCAATCCCTTCTGGATTTATAATCTATGAAGTCATAAAGGCTTGCTGAAAATTTACCTACTGCACAGGGCTATTGAGAATTAATAAAGTAATGTTTGTACAGTGCTTTGAAAACCTGTACAGCAGTTTATTTGAGTATTTTACTGTTTTTACTGGTAACCTCCATGTATGTTTGTATGTGTCCATAACAATTTCTCAAGTCAGTGATGATAAAATGAATAGTACATGTATCCAGAAATATTTGTTAAATAAGTAGAGGTGAAGAAGAATACATGAAAATATAATGTGGACAGCTTAAAATAATACTTTGGCAGTAGAGCACTTTTTTCATTTTCAAAGCACTTTACAAGCATTCACTCAATTAGCCCCTTGCCCCTGCACAAAACAATTATTACCAAGAATAATATCCTTTGTAGAGTAAACTGTACATTTTGCATTTAGAATTAAGGTTTTGCTAAAAACAACAGGTTTTGATCTCTGTGAAAAATATAATTTCTTACTATTGGTTATAAAGAGTGCATGAATGTGTGAAAGGAGTATATCAAACCTTTCGGGGACTAGTTGGCATCGTATTCTTATTTTTAAAAAGGTCTCTTAACATCTGTAGATTTAGGGCCATCTAAAGGGTTTTAGTTTTCATTATTAAACTTTTTAAAAGTGTTTAACATCTAAGAGCATAATATTTAACATTCAGATAGCAGCTCAATTTAAATTCAAAGGAAGTGTAACAATTCTGTCCTCTTGTGTATAAGAATGAATAGTTTTACATATTCTACCTTCCAATTATTTTATAACAAAAAACACAACTAAGAAACTTACAAACTTTCAAATGCTTCCAGAAGTTCCTGGGTCAGTTTACTTGTATTTTAGACAAACAATCTTTTTTAAAGAGGTTGACAACTTGATGGAGATAAAACCAGTTGAGAACATCTAAAGTAGGGATAATGAAGATAGTTGCTGTCTTTTAAAGCATATGGCTTTAACAAAGATAAATATAGGTACCTAAAACAAATGTCACACTTGTGCAAATATCTGGACTCAGACATAGAGATGCTATATTGTGAAATATTTGGTCACCCTCTGGTAACTGAAGCCATGTCCTAAGTGTTGTTTGACTGGCAGGCTAGAGAATGCCAATATTCAACATGTTAATCAGAAGAGAAGCAACATGTTGGTAATGTATAATCATTCTTCAGAGTACAATAAGAGATTACAGGAATGTGGGTACTGTATAGTGCATACCAGATACCTGGCAGGTATGCATTCCAGATTATTGAATTGTTAAATATTATTCAAGGGTAGAAGTTATGGGTTTTGCGGGCTGAGAAGCCTTGAACCAGTCACTTAGGGCCTGATTTTCAGAGGTGTTAAGCACCCCCAGCTCCCATTGACATCAGAAATTCCGGCCCCAAGTGACTGGCTCGGAAACCTACTTCTCAGTTTAACCTCACATCTCTGCGATGGGGAAATGAATTCTTATCTCATGGTGGCATTGGGATTTATTTAACATTTGTAAATTGCTTTGAGATCTTGGTATTAAAAGTACTATATAAAATGAATATTATTGATTTATAGAGCTGGTCAGTATGAAACAATTTTATTCACAAGAGATTCGGAAGACTTTTTGTCCAGATGTGTTGTGTGCTGACAGTAGTAATGCGCTTTGTCCAGTGTTGGGTTAGCAGTAGGGGCCAATCCTGCTTCCAGTGGAGTCAGTGGCAAACATCCCATCGACTTAAATGGAAGCAGCATTGAGTTTTTATTTAGTGCAGAATATTATTATTTAAAGAGATGTTGCATTCCAGTGAGTGAAATGTCTTTTTAAACAGCAATAAAGTTTGTGTCCAGTTGTTTAAGTATCTTTTTGTGTTTGTCTTCAATAATTCTGTCTCTAAGTTGAGTTTACTTCTCTGCCACTTGAGTTTGCTTTGATCAGATTTGTTTTTGTCTTAGCCTGCTTGATAAATAACAAGTGTATCGCTGATAGCTGAATGATTTAAAATTGTGTTTTCTCCCCCTCCAACAGGGCATCTGAGCAAAAGAAAAGGAAGGAAAATGAAATTCCTACTCTTAATAGCTTTCATCCATTTCTTACCACAATGCACCGGGAAACCTTTAAGCTTGGATGAACACCAACATTGCCACCAACAAACATTCAAAGAAATTAAAAGAGAAATAGCTGGGTATTCCGATATTGCCAAGGCTATTATCAACCTTGCTGTTTATGGCAATGCCCAGAACAGATCCTATGAAAGACTGGCACGTTTCGTTGACACCATTGGACCTAGACTCAGCGGCTCCAAAAATCTAGAGATGGCCATCAAATACATGTTCAGTGTCCTGCAGGAGGATAGGCTGGAAAATGTCCACCTGGAACCTGTAAAAGTGCCTCACTGGGAGAGGGGAGAAGAGTCTGCTATGATGTTGGCACCAAGGAACCACAGCATTGTTATATTAGGACTTGGAAGCAGTGTTGCAACTCCTCCAGAAGGTAATACTTTACTATCTTTTGACTTTATTATATGTTACTTTTAAAAATCAAAATGTATAATGGTACTAAAAGAATCCTCCAAATCATGTCAGTAGACAAGCTAGTCCTCTCCCTCTGCCATAAAAATGCTGCGAGCCAGAGAGAACTATCTTTCTGGAACTTTCTGTGTGAGGTGTTACTTTAGGAACTTGCACTGTATTTAACTGGAGTTGGCAAAGCTCCTTAAGTTTGGCCTGATTTTTTTTTATTATTATTATTATTATTATTATTTATATTTATTCTTTGAACACTAAAATTGTAGCCTGTTCTCAAAAGAAGTCATCTCTTTCTGTACCTGTCTGCTTGAGGTTTTGCCATGATTACCAATTAAAGGCAAAATGGTAGTCTGCCTCAGTGACTATTCTGCTTCTGGTAATTTAGAGAAATTTGGACTTCCTCAAATCAGTTTACTAAACTGTGGTGCCTCAGATGCTAATGACTTGTGAACTCAGCTTTCTAATCTAGACAAAAAGGGTGGGGCAGCATTGTCCAGGGAGTCGTACCATATACAACTATTGTGTGTTCCTCATATAGTCTTATTTCCATAATACTTTATGCTATTTAGAATTATCCTCTGTGAAAATAATCTTGGTTATGAAAGCTGATCAGTAAATTTTAATAAAGGCTAATTTTATTTCTTAAACTGTAAACTCATCTTGGCAGGAGAGAGGTGTGTGTATGCACACAGAGCGCCTAGCACATGATGAGCACTACTGAAATACACATTGTAAAAACAATTTCATTTTTGCTTGGGAAATTTTATATTACAGAATGCAAGTAAGGGACCCAGGACAAATTGGAAATTTAAAATGTAAATCGAAAATCAGTGTCATGATTTGGTGTCAGGACAACTTGTTGTTATACATTTGTCAGTTTTGGAGGGGAAGGGGAGATGATGGTAGGGTTGCCAGGTGCCCAGTTTTTGACCAGAAAGTCTGGTTGAAAGGGGACCTGTACAGTGTCCGGTCAGATGTACTGATCAGACATCAAAAGTCTGGTTACCGATGGGGGAGGGAGATGCTGAGTCATCAACCTGCGCCAGCCCCTGCTCAGCTGGGGCCACCTCCTACCTGCATCTCATCCACTCAATGTGCAGCGGCAGTCAAAAAAAGTGAACAGAATGTTGGGAATCATCAAGAAAGGGATAGATAATAAGAAAGAAAATATCATATTGCTTCTATAGAAATCATGGTATGCCCACACCTTGAATACTGCATGCAGATGTAGTCGCCCCATCTCAAAAAAGATATATTGGAATTGGAAAAGGTTCAGAAAAGGGCAACAAAAATTATTAGGGGTATAGAACGGCTTCTGTATGAGGAGAGATTGATAAGACTGGGACTTTTCAGCTTGGAAAAGAGGCGACTAAGGGGGGATATGATAGAGGTCTATAAAATCATGACTGGTGTGCAGAAAGTAAATAAGGAAGTGTTATTTTCTCCTTCTCATAATACAAGAACAAGGGGCTACCAAACGAAATTAATAGGTAGCAGGTTTAAAACAAACACAAGAAACTATTTTTTCACGCAATGCACTGTCAACCTCTGGAACTCCTTGCCAGAGGGTGTTGTGAAGGCCAATACTATAATCGGGTTCAAAAGGGCGCTAGATAGATTCATGGAAGCTAGGTCCATCAATGGCTATTAGCCAGGATGGGCAGGATTGGTGTCCCTAGCCTCTGTTTGCCAGAAGTTGGGATTGGGTGACAGGGCATGGATCACTTGATGATAACCTGTCAGTTCATTCCCTTTGGGGCACCTACCATTGGCCACTGTCGGTAGACAGGATACTGGGCTTGATGGACCTTTGGTCTGACCCAGTATGGCCGTTCTTACGTTCATGGGCAGTCAGTCAGCAGGCTCCACATCAGGCTGCAGCTCCCATCCCAGCCCCCTGAGCAGAGGGAGCCCAGCTGTGAATGGGGGTGGGGAATTGAGGGGGTTGGGAAAGAGCAGTGAGCGATGGTGGGAGGAGGTAGAGGAGCAAGAATTGGGGCAGGGCCTGGGGGAAGAGGTGGAGCAGGGTGAGGGTCTGGTTTTCAGAAATTAGAAAGTTGGCAACCTACGATGCGGGGTAAACTTGTGCCTAAAATGAGAAACAATTAAGAAACATTAGTAAAATCAGCCTACTAGCCCATAATATTTATAAGGCTTAGTGTTTGTAAAACGTATTTATAGTGTAGGTTAAACCCATTCAATAGGTGTTTAGTTTTTTTCATCCATTCCACTTCCTATCCAAGCTACTTACAAAGAAAACGAAAACCTTGTTCCCACTCTCAATCAAGAGTCATTGATGAGCACCTCAGTAAGAAAACTAGTCTATGCACAATTTGCCTTCCTCAGTTATTTAGTTATTTACACTTGCCTGGTCTTACTCCTCTAGTTTTTTCAGGGAGACACTAAGTTTGCACCTTCTTAAATGGGCTTCACCTCTAATGGGCTCCACCTCTAATCTTCTCCTTCATTTGACTTCAAATGCGCTGACTGTTGAAATGTAATTGCTGTAGACAATAGTCTGGCTCCCAGCCAGGAGAACTGTTTTGTCAGGAGAGGTTGGCTTGGCATTGATTTGTGCATGTATGGGGAAGCTGGCAAGGGTGTCACCTGATAAAGAGGGAGGACGTGGTCATTCTGGGGTTATTGGCCATTTTCTCTCTAGCTGAAAAGTAGAGAGGAGCAACCCTGCATGTAGGGCCTGCATTAGATGTGGGCATGAAGAGGCTGTCTGCTTTCCTGTGCTCAGTTGGCCCCAGGACTCCCAAGAGAAGCGGTCAGAGTAGTCAGGTGCAAAGGAAGCAGGCTGACCTACGGAGAAAAAGATTCCATATTGTAGCCCTCAATCCATGCGGTGAAGCAGAAGTACTCTGGACAGCCCAATGGACACTGACTGACTCCCTCCTCCACCCCCAAGAATGGCGTGAGGAAGAAAATGAGCAGAGAAATGTATAGGGTTTAGTTTTCAGTATGATCTATATTCTCTTGTGCATTATGTGATTAAGTAAAGGAGCAAATGTGTTTAGACTTGAGCAAAGTGTCTGAGTGTGAGTCATGTGTTTCATAACCACTGCATGCCTCCAAAGGAAAGTAAACTATGAACCAGAAGCTTCATACCTTTGGGGTGGAGTTCTGGGAACTGGAGTGTTTAAGTACAGGGGAGTTTGAGGAGTCCGGATTTTGCCCAGAGGGTCTAGGTGGCTGGACTGCAGATTGCAACTCTCAGGAGGGAGTTAAGGGGGAGTGATTTATGCATTATGGGCATGTGCCTAGGGACCCTGGGATTGGGGCAGTGGCTGGGCTCTGTTCAGGCTTTGTAAGCTGAAAACATCCAGGGACTCAGAGGTGTGGATTCCTCTCAGAGCAGTCCGGGGGTGGCTGGAAGGGAGAACCCAGCCACTTTAACTAATGTTATGTCACCCCAAGATCAGTCTGTCTGTTTGGGCTCTGACACTGGGGAAGATACGCAGAACTGCTAAGTAATAGTGAGCTCCTGTACTCTCTTTGATAGTTGAAGTAACTGCACAATTTAGGAGGTTCCTGGAAGGGAAATCCCCACTGCACAGGACTCCTAAGACAATCCAACAAGGGGGGTTAGAAACTGTGCTGCTTAGAGAGGGGCCCACCCTAACAAGCACCTTAGTTTCAAACTTGAGACTGAAAATATATTGTCAAGTCTGGTCTACACTACAGAGTTAGATCGACAGAAGGCAGCTTACGTCGACCTAACTATGCAAGTGTCTGCACTTAAATTTCACTCACGCCGAAGTAACTGCCCCGCTATGCTGACTTAATAACTCCACCTCCACGAGCGGTGTAGATGTAGTTAGGTCAACTGTAATTGGCTTTCAGGAGCCACCCCACAATGCCCCATGCTGAAAATGCTGGGGATTGAACCCAGGGCCTCATACATGCAAAGCATGCACTCTACCACTGAGCTACTACAATCGATACATGCGCTCCTGGTGAGGACGTGCACCACCGACACAAAGAGCAAAGTGTAAACATGCACAAGCGATGTAATGACTGTGGTGGCTGTATGCCAACATAAGTTAGGTTGACTTAATTTTGTAGTATAGAAATGGTTTCAGACTGTTTTCTAAGTTGGTGTTTGTCATTTCTGACTCCTGGGCAATTCATTTCCATGACCTACTCCCTCTCTCCCAGATAGTGCTGTTTCCTGTATCCTAATTCCCAGAAAAGAAGGAAGGAAGGAGCTACAGTAAATCACTTGTGAAATATTCTAATTAGTCCCCTCAGAGATTCATCAGCATTATTGATTTTTCATTTTATCCAAGAAGTTGTGGGAGTGTTTCATCCTTTGCTTGAAATACTGTAACTAAAAGTCCATGAAGCAACATCTGAGTCTTCTAGCACTGAATTGCTATTGGCTCATGGGAATGAGCATTTTAAAGATCCACAAATGTCATGCTTAGTTTCTCTTTGAAAGAGACATCGCTGTAAACCTACAGATTCAGCTATTAGAACTTCCCAATCAATGTAATGTTGATTTTCTCCAAACTTTTACAGAATAGCTTGTCTGAAGACTCATTTTTTTGGAAATGCATAGAACAATTCATTTGATGTTGGAGCATTCCCAACGTTTTGCTCTGCTGGGGAATGATAACTTTCACTTAGGGTCTGATGCACTTTGTCAAGGAAGCAAAAGGCAGAGCCTTTTTGTCCCAGGAAGATGATGCAAGGATCAGACCATTTTTGAACTCCAATCTCCATACTTTTTTACACTCTTTCTGTATGAGTAATATAATAAATATAGCTACAGTTACTGCTAACCTGCTTCAGGGTAGTACTACCTGGGCTAAGTATTATGTCAAGATGCCATGTTTCCAAATTCAGTCTCTTAAATAAATACATAAATACATAAATAAAACGAGGTAGGGAGGGAAGGCTAGAATGCTTTAGCAAAGAACAGGGATCACTCATTGGGGGGAGGGATAACTCAGTGGT